AAAGAGAAATTTTCCAAAAAGATTTCTCTCTCCAGAAATATATTTTTCCTTCTTCAAACTTGGAATTCTTAAAAATCTCAAAGTTTCAGAGTGAACTAAAATTTTTCTAAAGAGGAGGGATTGATGAAGAATCTTTCGTGTTCCAGTTTCTTGGATCAGTTGCAGAAGATTCTTTGATTCTTTCGGGAAGTTTCATCGGAGATTCCGGAAGCTCTCAATTCCTGAAAATCATCTTCTCGAAGTCGATTAGAAGCATCTCGTGTTCTATTTCGTCACTTGGATCCATTTCAAGAAATTTGATTTCCTTGCTTTTATTTATCGCCGAGTTTCTCTTCGTTTTGGTGTAACAGCGACGAATTTCTCTTTTCCCTCGGAGCAATTCATCGTGATCTTTTTCTCTTCGGGGCAACTTCACTGGGTACGTCCCCCCTCTCCTTCGAAGACTTGGCGAAATTTTCGTGCAACTTTCTTAATCCCGGATCGACATTCTTGCACCCGACTTTTCCAAATTCGATATATCTCATTGTCGAAATTATTCCGAAGAAATTCTATCCTTCCTTTCCGATAATTCCACGCATCTCCGTTTATAAAAATTCGAGAAATATCAATCTTTCAGAGTCCTGCATCTCTGACCTCGTAATCCAAACCTGTTACCCATTCTTCTTCCATTGCACGAATGCACAGGTGGATTTTACACGGTACTTAAAGTTATTACGCGTTATTCTCGTTTACGTTGCGTAAACTTATTTACGTTACATACCTGTATAAACTTCTTACGTAAAATCGACACACGTATGGTTCTCGAAAGTGATCGAATAATAATTTAAAAAAAATATCGATAAGAACCCCGCAGCTGAACTATAGTTATCACTCATGGAGTCTATCATGAGACGAGACTACTATCTCTTCATTAACCCTTTTCACTCGACGATGTTTTCGCTACAGACGAGTAGAAATTCGCGAATTTTCTGCTACCAAGCTGACGATATTTTTTAGAAAGTAAATAAAAATTCGTACAATAATTAACACAAAAGTAGAATTATTTAATTTCAATACCTACACTATTAGTTTATTCCGAATTTAATATATCAATTAATATCGATCATCGAAATTTTATTTGGTGGTGATTGAAGATCATCTCTCGAGTGCAAAGGGTTCATTTCATTAATTTCTATTTTACCAATTTATTTTCTCAAATTACACCCCTGACTAGTTCCTGCGTGTACCCCAGCGGGGTGTCAAAGGGGTCCCAGTTTGAGGTTTCCATCTTTATTCTCTGTCACCAACTTCTCTAACCCTAGGGAATGTCACCCTATCCAATCATGAACTCATCCAGCAGTCATTGGACCAAAGATCTACGCGTGTGTCGCGATTCCTCGTAACACGATCCCGGCAATTACTTCCAATATTTCGGTGCCGCGCCAGCGAGTCCCATACAACTCCATAATTGGTGACAGCCGACGAGTTCGCACGTCTTCCGAGAACTTTTATTACCGCGCCGGCTATTTCTGATGCTGGGCCGCGTGCGATCGCATCCGACCACGTCGATGCACGCACTCGTTGCACTCGATTTTTTCGCGCCTCCATCTCCCACCATGGGACGAGCTGCTAGCCGGTTTAAAAATTGAACCAGGTCGCGCGGCCCGGCTGGCTGATCGTGAGTCACTGATCTAGCGAGATTTCGTCGCCTGGAGATGGATCGGTGGATCCTTGGGTCACGATGCTTCGGTGGCTGGTGTGTAATAGTGGATATTATAGGGTGGAGCTATTGAGTTAGGGTTCAGGTGGTTTTCACGTGAAGAGAAGACTCAGTATTACTGACGATGAACATTTTTGACATTAAATTGATCATGACTGGTGGAATTGACACATGGATGAAGAGGGGAAAGATGAAGAATATTAAACAGAATTGCAATGAAATATTAATTACATAGCCAAGTGATCAGAGCAATAATATAGAATGCGAAATTTTGATTTTTCATGAAGAGAAAGAATATTCTTGACACTAAATTGACCCTGGCCAGTCGAATTGACAGATGGATGAAATGGAAAAAGATGAAGAATTGCAATGAAATATTAATCACGTAGTCAAGTGACCAGAGGAATAATATAGAATGCGAAATTTTGATTTTTCACGAGGAAAGAGATCATTCTTTGAATTGACAGAGGGTTGAAAAGGGCATAAAAGGAGAATATCAAACAAACTTGAAAAATTGACTATACCTATACTAAAACACAAATCACATGGTCGAGTAACCAAAGTGACAACATCAAATGAGGAGAGAGATTCTTGACACTAAACTGACCCTGGCTAGTCAAATTGACAGATGGTTGAAAAGGGCATAGAAGAAGAATATTAAACAAACTTGAAAAATTGACTATACTTATACTAAAATACAAAGCACATAGTCGAGTAACCAAAGTGACAACATCAAATGCGGAATTTGAAATCGAAAGTTTGCAAATAGTTTCGTAACCTAACTTAACCTAACCTCGCCGAGTGGATTAATGTAGTTAAGGTGTAGGTTTAAGAGGTTCCAAGCTTGTGACGTTTGTGTAAGGATATTTTGGTAACCCGATAGGCAAGAGGAATTATGGATGAAACTACTCGGAAGAAAAACAACGAAGAATTAGTATCGAACCATGAAGAAATTACGATAAATGATCGATGCTTTCGCGTCATTGGCCAGTCACGAGGAAAATGCACGTTGATCCAGGAAAGCGATGTTGAAAAACAACCTTTGCAACGGGGTCAATCGTTCTGTGGCCACGCGATATAAACATTCATGACCGACATATGCGCGAAACTCACGCATAGTCGTTCGAACTTTGACCCGTGAACTTCGGTAATAGCGCGTAACGCGCGGCGCGGTTAGTTCACGGTCAGCGTCGCTGCGTACTTACTTCCTTCTTTTTCTATTAATTAAACCGCATATATATGAACCATGACTCCTTCCAAACCAAGTATAATAAAGATTCGCCTTTTTCTAATTTTTCTATCTACACGATGTTATAATACTTTATAATATTTGCACAATTCACAGGGGGCACCAAGATTTTCATTGCTCTAAAATTAAAATAAAATTGCCAAATTAATTGTGACATAAAAATTATTCTTCCTATATCGACGATTTTAATACTAAAATTCTCACGGGGGTCAAAATCTCTCGTTTTAACCTTTTTTATCTCTGCAATTGCTGAAAGTTTGCATTTACTTTTGACAAAATTAATATTAATTTTTATTCCAATATTAAAATAGTTCCAACAATTTTTGCAATTACTGAGAGTATGTATTTATTTTTAGCAAAATTAACAGTAATTTTTATTCCAATAACTTTTGCAATTTATTTTTGCAATTGCTGAGAGTGTGCACATACTTTTAGCAAAATAGATAGTAATTTTTATTCCAATAACTTCTGCAATTTATTTTTGCAACTGCTGAAAGTATGCACTTATTTTTGGCAAAATTAACAGTAACTTTTATTCCAATAACTTTTGCAATTTATTTTTGCAATTGCTGAGAGTGTGCACGTACTTTTGACAAAATTAATACTAATTTTTATTCCGATATTATGCTAATAATTTATGGTATGTATTTCTATTCATTATACTGTTTTAATTATCATCAATAATTTATATCGTGTTTGAGTACTGAAACATTTAAATCCATCTCCCAATCCGGTCCCAAGCGACAGTCAACGTGTGAACGCAATGCAAATGAGCGCATTGCCGAGAAAAATAGGCCTAACTCCACTTTCCAAATACTATAGATAGATTTTTGCAGACTGTCATTCGCTTGTCGTTCACGCTTGCCGTAACCCGACTCGTGAAAGTGAAGCAACCGTGGCAAAAAGCCATTGTCGTTTTACAAGAAGGCGTACGCTAATTAGTATTTACCGATCCGTCGTTACAAATCGATCAGCGGTTTCGTTAACGCAAAACAAGAGTCGTCGACCGCCTACAACCGTGTCCAATCGATTTCGCGCTCCTACGATCGCTATTGTCATTTTTCCGTCCATTGTGGCATCCGGTGAAAGTATTCTGCGAACATGGCCATATTAGATCGTCGATACGATCCAGGCGTTTCTTTCGATCGATTTCATCGGGCTGAATTATAGCTCGAGCACGGTGCGATTCGATTTGCATTTCGTTTAAAAGGGACTATGTACGATGACTATTAAAATGACAGGAGTGAACGTCAAATAAATTTTAGAAATTTTTCATACTAATAAAGACAGTTTTCCTACTAATATATTTCCAGTTGCACGACGGGGATTCGTGTCATTTCTGAATCTATTTCTGATTATCGTTGATGCGACTGCAAAGGAAATTGTTCTACTTCGAGTCCAGGAAAGATGGCCGACTACGGACGCAGTAATAACTCGCGTGGAAAAGGCTTAAGAGAGTTACAATGCGTTATAAAGCACCCTGTCACGGCGAATCCCATTAAGAATTCATTTTTATCGCATTAACGAAATTGTCTGATTCCTCGCGTCAATTTTCCCCATTATAGAAACTCCATAAAGCTCTTTTCACGCTTGCAGTTACCCCGACTATCTGTCGCACTTCAGCGACAATTTCTGGCGACACTATCGTTAATCCGAATTCAACGATAAGAATTTCCCTATCGATATTTCCTACCACCGCGAAATCTGCCGCGTGAAAACGGCTTAACCCGGTTCCCTTCAGCCGAACAGAACGAGCAACCTGACAAATTCCGTTTCTTTTCTTATTCCAGATCGGACAACGACGCGCGGCTCGAGGCAGCGATCACGGCAAAACCACGCAAGGTAACGCTGCTTTCTCTTTATTTTTCCCGGCCGCTTAAGTAATCCAGGCACCCCGTAAAACACACGGAAAGTCGAGCGGGGAATTGGTGAACGATGGAAAACCGAACGGGGAAGGCGAAGTGTCGAAGAAAGAATTCTAAAGCGCGAAGAAACGTCCCGGCCCGATTGCTTGCCGCGGCAAAAACAGCTGGAACGAGTTTCGACCAGCGTTACATCATAATCGCGTAGCGTAATATCGCATAACGCTGACTCACTTCCGGTCGCTTTGGTTTGATATTCCGCCCGTGACGCGCGGCTTTCCAGCGTTCGTCCGATCGGTAATGCGTTCGGTAAATATTCGAAGGCCGCGAAAGTAATTCGTCAATGTTAATAGACGGCCGGCAAACGTGATAAATAGCGCGGCGCGGGTCCGCCGCGAGCGGCGCTGCGATCGATCGGCGAACGGAAGTCGCGGCAGCGCGCCCTCGCGGAGCTTCTTTTCTACGCGATCCCGATCGCCGGGGGTAATGAATCACGCTGGTAATTGATAAAATATGATAAAATCGATGACACCCGGCTGTCCACGGTTTTTCCTATCCCCGTTTGATGGATCGTTGATAATTATTTTACGCCACCACGGCCGGCGTTCGCAGCCATGTATCTTCGTTCGGGGTGATAAATTAAGGCGTGTTCGTATGTGTTCGTCGGTTAATGACGAGATGCAAATATCGCGCTGGATATGGTGATTTTCGCTATTCGACGGATGGTGGCTGGTAATTAATCAAGGAAAAAGAGCTCGGAGAAAGGTATCAACGATGCTGAACGGTATTTCTGGACCACTGTTATGCTGATCTCTCGGTTTCGTAGTTTTACCTCACTGCCAGCGACAATGGCACTCGGTATTATATCGTTTAGTCGGTGTTTACGAGATGCCGCACTTTCTAGCGAGGTGCGTTAACGTAACAAACAATGGCGATAAATGTCGGACACTTTGGTCCGTTGAATGGACGCCAGATCAATTCGTCATCGCGGCTTCCTTCGCTCGCCGTTGGGAAACGTGGAAATTCATCGTGGAAATTGCCTCCCAAGTTTTCCATCGGTCATTCGAAAGCTTCGGCGAGGCTTCATCTTCGGAGAATTAATTAACCCACGAAGTCGGAACTGCGAAGTGATGAATGACAAATTCAACAGCACCATTTGAGTACAGTAATTCCCTAAAACTTCGATTTCCTTTATTTAGATATTAGAAACTCTGTGAGAACATTCGCAGAAAATACTGGGAAACAATTTAGCTTCGCGATTCAACGATGATTTATGCAAGACAGGATTATCGGATTTTTATTATCCAAGATGGATATCTAGCTTCAAATTTTAATTTAATACTAAACCTACCATGGTCCAAATCACTCAGTTTAACAAACTTTCATTAAAAATTCCGCGATCAACGTTCTCGTTTTAATCATTCGTCCTCGCGATTTTTCTTCCAATGATGGAGGTCTAGCTTCGAATTTTAATTTAACAATAAATCACCAGTTTAGCAAACTTTCATTAAAAGTTCCGCGATCAACGTTATCATCTTAATTACTCGTCTTCGCGATTTTCCTTCCAATATACGTCTAGTCATTTTCTCGATATCTACTATTTTTTATTCCATTTTTTGAAGCTTCCACTTATTTTCCATTCACCGGTTATTTGACCGTGTTACGTATAGTGTTAAGGTCATATACTAAATTGCCCGAGGATCGATGAAATTCGAACCCAAATTTTCGCGATATTTTTATATTCAAATTTACAGTGGAACGAGAAGCCTTTCTGCGGAATATTCCCTAGTTTGAGTACAAGGTGCACCGAAAATACGCGAAGACGATCGCGCGTCAAGCTTCTTCCGCGTGCTTCCTCGTCAGACGTGTATCACAGCGTGACTCGAGTCGGCGTGTTCCTGAGAATTTTCCAATTTCCTCAGCCTGCTAGTAATAAAGGGCAACGCGTGCCAGCTGCGCTGGGCTGATTTACAGCGCCGCGAGGACGTTAGGCCGTCGGCGTTCCTCGAGTTTCGAGCAACGGGACGTGTCGTAACGAACGGGCATTCACGGTACATCGGCAAGAACGGCCTTGCTACATTATTAGACACCGCGCGGCATTAGGCGTGCAACGGCGCGCCACACGCTTCTTCGATCGCCGCGAATCTTCGCCTTTATTTGCGTCGTGAGATCGGCCATCTTGCAAGTCGATCGAATCGCTGAAAATGGACTCGATCGATGTTTCACTTCTCGCTTCCGGGTGCAAGAAAGTTCTTTAACGGAGGATTTGAAGATCCCTAGATCGGTGCTTGCTCGCTGGACCGTTCGGAGGAAACGGAACCGAAGGATGGTTGCGTAATGACAGATCTTAGCGTGTCAATGATGCTGAGAAGAGATAGACAGACCTTGGAATGCGAATTGCAACGATGTTTCTCCTGTCATCGGAGTGGAAGTTGATCGAGATGCAGATTGCGGTGTGATTCGATAGGGGAGGTTTTGAATATTTATAGGGTATGCTGCATTCGAGCTTTTCTTCCTCCTGACCCATGCGTTTATCTACACGTGACACTAGCCACGCTATTATATATATTATTTTATTATTTTCACGATCAAGGTCTGTTTAACCCTTTGGACTCGAAGATTTCTTCGTTGCGAAGATGCAATTAGAAGCTCTTCTTAGATTCTTATAAGCTCGCCGATACTCTTTATGGCAAAATTTAGAAAAGAAAATCGCGAATTTGCGTGAGAAACGAACGAATAGAGTAATTTGATTTCGACGTTCTTAATATAATTATCATCAATTATTTAAGTTATAGCATTACAACAAACGGTGACTGAGAGTCACCTCTCGAGTGCAAAGGGTTAATACTAAACCTACCAATGTTTAAATAACCATTTTTAAAACTGTCATTTAAAATTCCTCGTTGAACCTTATCGTCTTGATTTTCCCACTCGTTTTCGCAATTTTTCTTTCAAAATACGCGTAATCGATCTTGCAGTGTTTCGAACTATTTCATTCTTTCCAAGATTCCACTGCTTTCTCATTCATGGGTCATTTGACCATGACAGGTTCAGTGTTAAATTCCAATTCCAAGAGTGAATGGAATTCAGTGAATTCGGTCAAAGTAGACGTGATAGGATAAAACTGGAACCAGCTGTCATAGATCTTGCTAATAACCTACGCACTTGGAATCTACGTAGATATTCTCAGCGTGTAACCAACGCGTGCAAATAAATCGCGAGACGCGAAACAATTACAACGTCAGAGATGGCCACTTTTAAACCGCTCGAAAATACTCGCTCGATGCCACGCGATCGAGGATGGAGCCGTCATCCCGAAAGATCAACAACGGATCACGGTGTTAGACCACGCGACGCAGACTCGATCGAGAATTTACCAGAATTCGCTCGCTGTTTTTCCGCAGCCCGTAGCCAACCATAATATTAGCACCGTTTGAATCATCGCGGCGATTTCACCGTGCCAGTGCACATTTTCGCGCATTTCGCCACGCTCGTGAATTTTTGCCCCTGCGGCCTCTAGATGGAAGTGAAAAATACCGTCTGGAGCCAGGCCAATCGGACTATTCGCAGAGCAAGTGGCATAAATAGCTTTGTTGTCCGGTGAACGGGACGCGAGAGTGTCTTGTCCGTGGAGACCGTGTCCCGCGCGAGGAGGAAGCGGATTCATCGACCACCGTTTTCGTGGAAATACGATACGATTTCGCGGCGAATGTCAGACGATCATCTTGACGCTCTTTGGACCCTATTAACTCGAACCGACGAAACGGGATAAGCGAAAATCCAAGTGTTTTGGAAAACTTAAATGCTCCCAGATGTAGCAGCTCACCCTTCGAAAATTCTCTAGGTACCTCGCCCTGTCACTTAGCCCTTTCACTCCTGAAAGTTATAAAGAGGGTAGCAAACGCCCTGTTGCGAATTAATTTAACAAATTTTATTTTTGTTTATATCTAATAAAAATTTAATTATAAACGCTCAAAAAGAATTTTCCAAGCTTTAACAGCTCTGAAATCCATGGACGTGTTGTATCACGTCCGCAGTCATCTTGTAACGTGACGTCATACGACGCCTGCAGGAGTGAAAGGGTTAAAATACCTTTCGCGAACAGTGACGCTGATGGAGTCTCAAAAGTATCCCTAACAGTCTCTATACGTACTACTTTATCAATTCAACTCGACGATATAAACTGAACAAGTATCCCTAACAATCTCTGCACATACGACTTTATCAATTCAACTCGACGATAAAAACTGGGACGATATAAACTGAACAAACGCAAATTGAACCTCATCTCTGCTCACCATCGACCACCACCTAGACAGAAACATCCTTCTCTGATATGATACTTAAATTCTGCACTTGGAAAGCTATTTTTCCAATTCACGATCAGAAATGAAGGATAAGGACGAGATAGGAGACGTCTAAAGGATCTTCAGGCAACATGCTGTCATAAGAGTCTCGCGAAATTAATCTCCCCGGTCCAATACTAGCTAAAGGATCATCTTCCCTTCTAATGGACCAGGAATGAAACGATAATGTCGTGAAAATAAGAAATTTTCAACGAAGCCCAGAACAACGAGCATTACTCCTGTCAAAGGAACACCTTCTCTCCTAATGGATCAGGAATAAACAATAATAGATCTCCAACGAATTCTAGAGCAACAACCACCTCTCCATCCAAAGAATCATCTGCTCTACTCACGATTCGACTACGGGAAAATGGCTAATAACGATAAACAAGAGTCAAAGGCAAGACACAGTATCAAAGTTCTGCTCTGCGCTGTCATTCGTTACGGAGCGATCGACGTTAATCGCCACTGTCCGCGTCGTAAAATTCCAGGAGGGTTCACAGGTCCCTGCGAAGAATGGCGCGGGTGCGCGCGTGGAAGCGGTTTACGAGCGGTTTTCCGGCGACGAAGCGGTCGTTTCGCGAGCGGAGCCGAAGGCCCATTCAACAGCGACGCGGTCGGTCACTCGGTCGAG